AAAAAATTTTAAATACTCATTCAGAATTGTTTCATCCTTAGTTAAAGATAGTTTAGTCCCTTACAAATAATTATAGTCACATATTGCTTAATGATGGGCATATATCCTGAGAACTGCTTTCTCATTAGATAGGAGACTTTGTGGTTGTGGAAACAGGTTTCATTCATATTGAAGATTTGCTGTGGCAAGTAATTTTTCTCCACAATCAGCTTATTTTGAATTTTCTAAAATTCTTCAGCTACCTTCACATCAGCACTTGGTGTGCTTTGCAAACTCACCACTTACTTTTACATTATGTAATGAATAATGAGCTAGCGGCAAATTTAACTTCATAAGCTGGATACAGCCTTTTCTTTCAACATCACACAAACTTTTTGCTGGTTGTGATCATGGTGTGGAATCAGATAAGCTTCTATATTTGGTCTTCAATTCAAATCTCTAGAAATTTTTAATTGATATATACTCTTCTTGAATTATCTTGCTGCCTTCAATAAAGTGGATCCTTATTGATCCTTTAAGACCAGCTCTGTCTTTCTGTTCTTGTTCTTGAAGATCATATTTTCAGAGGAATAGAACATGCCTGATCAGTGATCAATGGTGATCATTGACTTTTTACCTTCACAGTCTTTACTTTTATTTGTTTCCAAGTCAATCACTAAACATGGCCTCTTACTGACAATATATAAGTAGTGAATTTTGTACACTTAGGGGCCACAATAAATGAAACAAAATGAGATTAAATGAAGCACAAAAGAATACGATGCAATGGAAAGATGAAGTACATGTGAGATTGTGAAGCTGTTGCTGGTTAACATGGCACACTATTTTAAAGTTTTTAGGTCTTTTTTAAAATATAAATTAACAGAAGGTATACACTCTAAAATAATAGTATTAGTAAAACAAATATATCAATCAGTAACAGTCATTTATTATCAAGTGTTATGCACAGTACATAACTGTAAATGCTATACCTTTATAGGACTTGAAGTGCAGTAGATTTCGTTGCATCAGCATTACTATAAACATGTGAGTAATGCATTATAGTACAATGTTATTAATACTGCTAATCAGCTCTTTTACAGAAGGAGCCTGCTGTGGGTATAGATCAACGATAGAATACTTGCTTAACGTAAGTGAGGCCCTAGGTTTGATTCCCACCACCACAAAAAAGAAAAAAAAAAGTCTAGTTTAAAGTCTGATAAAGATTTTAATGATG